GAATCGTGGGAGCAAAGAACAGGACCCAGTGCTCTCCCATAAAGGACAACTGTTTCCAGTACACCATCCCTCATGATGACTCCTTAAGTGGTTCTTCATCTGCCTCTTCATGTGAACAAGTGAATGATTTCCCAGCATCCTTCCGAAAATCTTCATACTGGAGGAAAATGAAGAAGATCAAGCAAGCTGCTTCTCCTCACATTGAAGGGTCAGGTGGAGTGTCTGCCAAAGGGAAGAGGAAACCCCTGCAGGAAGAGGATGAAGACTATGGACAGTTTCCTCAGAAGAAGCATAAACTTTATGGGAGGAGGCAATGGCCTAAAACTCAGCCTAATCCCAAACCCCAGGCTCGCCGTATACGGAAGGAACCGCCAGTTTATGCAGCAGGCAGTTTGGAGGAACAGTGGTACTTAGAAATTGTGGATAAAGGCAGTGTTTCCTGTCCTACCTGCCGGGTAGTAGCGAGGAAGACCATAGAGGGTTTGAAGAAACACATGGAAAACTGCAAACAGGAAATGTTTACTTGCCATCACTGTGGGAAACAACTGCATTCCTCAGCAGGGATGAAGTATCATGTCATGGCGAATCATAATAGTTTGCCCATTTCAAAGACTGGAGATGAAATTGATGAGCCAAGTGAGAAGGAACGGCTCCGAACAGTTTTAAAGAGACTGGGAAAACTCAGGTGCATGCGAGAGAGTTGCTCCACTACCTTCAGCAGCATCATGGGATATCTGTACCATGTTAGAAAGTGCGGCAAAGAGGCTGCAGAGCTGGAGAAGATGACCTTAAAATGTCACCACTGTGAAAAACCATATAGGTCTAAGGCTGGTCTCGCATATCACCTGAGGTCAGAACATGCACCTGTCTCCTTCTTTCCGGAGTCAGGACAGCCAGACTGCTTAAAGGAGATGAATCTGGAAGCAAAGAGTGGGGGGGGGGAGTTCAGAGACGCTCTGCCAAGATTGCTGTGTACCACCTGCAGGAGCTGGCCTCTGTTGAACTGGCCAAGGAGTGGCCTAAGAGGAAAGTGCTCCAGGACCTGATACCTGATGACCGGAAGTTAAAATGTACTGGACCTGGGCTGCCTACTTTCAGCCAGGAAGTACTACACAAATGGAAGACAGATATCAAGAAGTATCATCACATTCAGTGTCCTAACCAGGGTTGTGAGGCTGTGTACAGTAGTGTGTCTGGCCTTAAAGCTCACCTTGGCTCGTGTACATTGGGAACTTTTGTGGCTGGAAAATACAAGTGTCTTCTATGCCAGAAAGAGTTTGTGTCAGAGAGTGGTGTTAAGTATCACATCAACTCTGTCCATGCTGAGGATTGGTTTGTTGTAAACCCAACAACAACAAAAAGCTTTGAAAAGCTGATGAAGATAAAGCAGAAACAGCAAGAGGAAGAAACACGCAGACTGGAGCACAGGAGCAGGAGGTCACTAAGAAGGCTGCAGCAGCCTGGCATTGAGCTTCCTGAGACCCAACTGAGCGTTAGAGTAGGGAAGGATCAGAGGAGGAATAATGAGGA